GCGAGAGGTGTTGCACTCACCTGTGTATGTTTTTCTTTGGGGACTATCTCAGGGGATTTCTTGTCGATAGCTTAGTCGCTTTAAATGCTCGCTGAGTGATGGAGTCATGGGTAGGTGAGATGGATGGTGGGAGGGAAGTTTGGGATAAGATAGGACTGACCGTACTAGAAGTTAGGACTGGTGCTAGCTCACAATATCATCTTCAAAGAAGGATCGCGCAGGCTATCTTCAGTTATAACTATCAAGTAAGTGTCAAAAGTCCCAAGTATAGTTGTACTTTGTCTTTGCATTTTCAACTTTGTATAAATCTTGGCAGCCTTCTTTTCCTACGGGAAGCGTTGCCGATATTTTTACACAATTGAAAGAGTTAGTCATTTTTTTGGCTCATGAAAAGTTTGAAAAGGCACTTTTCCTATGGGAAGCACTGCCGAATTTTTCTAGAATTTTGAGAGTTAGATTATTTTCTGCTAGGAGAAATTTGGCAATCCACCCCGTTTACGGGGAGATGCTGCCAAAATTCTCAATAACTTTTGGTATCAGTTGAAGGAAGGTGAGAGAGAAGTTAGTTAGGCTACGAAGTGGAGTGTGTCCTTCATTTGAATTAAACGTAGTATTGGTCCTTTTTGGCATGTAATGTGATGCAGGTTCACACTTTCAATTGAAGTTTCGAATCGTTCGGCCTGATCCTATAAAGGGTCACTCTTCTGTTATCTTTTGATAACAGGTCGGTTTTCGGCTCAACTCTAATTCATTTTCGCTACTCAACCTAAAGGCTTTAGCCCTTGTGGATTGAAATGTTTCTTTTGTTTTTTTTTTACCCAGACGTTATTGAATGGCCATTTAAAAAGGATCGAGTGTTTATTTTGGAAGGTTGGACAAGGGTTGGGGCTTGTGTCGGTAAGGCAAAGGGGTGTGAGTGAAGAGAGTGGTTGAAGTTGACCCTGTGTAGTGTGTGCTCTGTCGATGTGGATCTTTGATGTGATTGCAGGTATGTTTTGTGAGTTGGATTATATATATTTTTGAAAGAAGTCACACTGTGATTGTGAGAGTGATCGTCCCCTATCTCATAACTTTTATATCATGTTTCTTGTGCCCGCACGACCCATTGAGGTCGTGCGTAGTGATTAAATAAGTTCTGCATTGAGAGAAAAGGGAGATTTCCTCTTACCTTTTGCTTTCTGAATTATTATAGTTGGACTTGAAGCCCGTGACAGTCGTCAAAGTCAAACCCCTTGACTTCTCTCCAGGCCCTGGATGATAAAGCTTGCCTCCTAGGCCACGAGAGCTGACTGCCACCACAGGCTGAAACTTGCGCACCACCCACTCTCCGCAGGGTGCAAAAGAGGGTGTAGTGATCACTGCCTTGGCGATCGTCTAGCGTCGAGAGATTAACCCCTCAAGGCGCGTGTCCGCCGACACTTGAGTATCAAACGTAACCCTCGAGACAATCGAGGATCGCGTGATTATAGGTACTACATAATACTCCATCGATGTGCCTGTTTGCATATGCTTGCATGGCTAGTCGATATGAAAAAGGCCAAGCGTCTACGGGGTTTTATCGTGAGTCTCGCACACGACGCCTAACCGATTTCCGTGTTAAAAGGTTATGGATCGGACATTGAAAGGACTATGAGAGTTTTTGTCTTTGGGTGTATATTTTAGTTTTATTGTGGTGTAACGCATGGTGAGTGGATCGCGTCCTAGTCGACCGACGACGAGTCGTGCTTGGGACCTCAGCGCCCCAATGCGTCGATTCGCGTATGGGTCTGATTGAGGGGCGTTGACCGCACGTACCCCCTATGCTACAGCGAACGAGAAACGCCCTCGGTCCGGCCACCTCTGCAATTGCATACGAAAAGTTTTCCCACGTGGTTCGGTAGCTCGGTGGGGATACACCCACCCAAGGGATGGTGACAGCTCCCGCGGGAGGAGGTAAGTTGTGCCTCGTGTAACCCTATTCTGTCATAGGGGCTCGCGAGAGGTACGGCTGGCGCACTCGGCCGGGGCGGCAAAACGCTTTACGATGAAGTCCTACAAAATCCTGCGTTGCGTGGCCGGGAAGGTCCCTTTGCGGGATCGATGCACTCGATGGTGGAGCCTCGTTATATATCCAGGGAGGCTGCTGCCTCGTTATATATCCAAGGAGAGCCAAGAGTTCTTCCTCATTTTCGGTATGCAAGTTTGATCGACGTACTGCTGGAGCAAGCGCTGAACTTCAATGCGCTGGTGGGAGGAACGTTGGGCATTACAGTGCTGCTAGGAGGAAGGGCACCAGGAGCTTCCACCTTGGCTATGGTGGAGCTCTATCGGTAGGAGGAGGAAGAAGAAAGGGGCTAGGGAGGAGAGTGGCAAGCTACCTACATGGCTATGGTGGGCACCATCTTCATCACCTTCTTAGGCGCTGCATCTGGAAGGCCCCAATTGGGGTTGCGCCGGCCTGAACAGCAGCGGGCACAGCTGCTTTGGGTTGCCTTTTGCACAGCAAGGCAAGGCCCTAGTAGTCCACCATAGCCTTGGCCTACATGAAGAGGAAGGAGAAGGTGGCCATGGCTATGGTGGACCTCATGTTGGGATTCGGACATTGATTCTGGTTTGGCCATTCATCATCATTATTATTGTTTATTGTTTGAATAAAGAGGGGAGGAGAAAATGAGGGATTGGTTGGCGAGAGGAAGGGAATTATCATTGGTCTTTGCTGGTGTACATCTTCGTCTTCTTCTTTCTTTCTTCCTCTTCTTCTTCTTTCTTTCTTCCTCTTCTTCTTCCTTCTTTCTTCCTCTTCTTCTTCTTTTTCTTCCTCTTCTTCTTCTCTCTCTCTCTCTCTCTCTCTCTCTCTCTCTCTCTCTCTCTCTCTCTCTCTCTCTCTCTCTCTCTCTCTCTCTCTCTC